ATTGGTTGAAGGTACATTACCCACCTTTTAGTGATGGGTAGAAAAGTTGTCCCCACACATATTTCCAACCTGAATCTTAGGAATATCCAATATCATGAAATCAACTAATTTAAAGATTGCAAATCATGTAGGCTCAACTTGGTAAGACAATTTTCCCACTGCTCACAATAATTATCTTGTATAGATCCCTCTTTCATGATCTTGATTTCTTAGGCTTTGTTTACTAATTTAGAGGGAAGGGAAGCGTGCATAGTCCACACTCTCCACACTTTGCAAAAGATTTTATTTTTCTTCATTAGACTAAAACCTATGTAGCACGGACATTCCGAACACGACCCCGACTCTGACAAAACGACAACTTAAATAATTTGAAAAAATTAATTAATTAAACATACAAATGTCGGTGCAGGTGTCCGACACAAACACGAACACAAACACACATTTTTTCAGAAGTGTCGGGGCTACATAGACTAAAACCCTTCAATACAGAAATGACTTTGGAGGGCTAGAAATAAATTTTCAAATTCATTACTTCTCTTTATAATACTTTTACTATAAATAAATAAAATATTACTTTTAAGTACTTTCACCTTACCACCTTAAAAAATATTCTTCCTTACAAAGTGAAGGATTCCCCTATCTTTAACTTACTCTCCTTCACTCCAAAGTCTTTTTCCTCTCCTTTTCCCTTCTAACTTCTTAACAAAGCCTTAGCTACATTTTTTTTCAAGAAGGATAGAGCTTAACAAGGGTTGGGTTCTGCCTAACCGGCCACCCAACCTGGTAGATTAGTGCAGGGTGGGTTGAGCCTAAAACCTTTTTTATCAAAGCTACCCAAACCGACCCAACTCACTCACATCAGAGTCATATTGGGTCTGACTTCCGTATATAATACCTCATTCCAGAAGCTCATAAACAATAAAAGTAGGGCATGAGATATAATAAAGAGATGGGGATATGAGAGGAAGAGATGGGGTCAAGTCGTGCAAGGTAGCAGAACAAAAACAATCTCATAGCAATTTTTATCTTCTAGATCATTTCACTAGAAGTAACACCATGTGAGGCTTCAAAGATGACACTGTAGGATTGTCATCAGGATTTCATGCAGAATCGAATAGGGGTAGTAAAATTGTAAAACGTGAAATAGTAACAAGAAAAGTAAGATTCTACAAAATTCATAAAACTCATATTTTGTATATAAACTATCACTCATGCATAAATTTATATTATTAAGGGAGAGTAAATCTTTGGATTCAAATACTTAATTAAACTTAGAGTCTTAACTATAATGAAGTTAGTAAATAATGTCTAAAATAACCACTAACTCATACTTTCTTAAGTCATGAAGAAAACAACTTCAGCTAGGCTTGCATAAATCACCCATTATAGCAGCAAAACTAGACATTCTAATGCAACAAAGTGAAGAACTCAACAACAAAAACAGTACACAAGTAGGGGCTTCTTGTCACGAGAAACAGAGCACAAAGCAGCAGAACTCAATAGCAATAACCACGGTTGTCAGGATCAGGCTATAACTCCCGAGATCGTACGATCTTGCGTGCCTGCAACCATCCACCGAGTTAGGCGGTGTAAAGATCGTGGAAGAAGCAGGCAGGGTAGACGCGCAGAGGAAAAGAGGTGAGTTGTGAGATCCGCACGATCTGCTTTATGGCCTCGACGTCTTTCGACCCAGCCATTAAACACTAGGATTCGACCCATTCTTTCAGAATTTTACCTGATTTTTTTTGGAAGCTACGCATATAAGGGTTAGGGCTTTGGGACTTGCTGCATTTTAAATGAGCATTTGAGAATTGAAAAGGTTAAAGCTGCGCAGCCGCTTTGGAAATAAATTTCGGACTTGCACCCTTTTTATTTAGTAGATGTATTGGAAATTTCTAATCATTTACTTCTCATTCAATATGAATCAGCTCTCATTCAATAAGAATCAATTCCTCTCCTTTTATTTCTTCAATAAATTCATATGACTTCCTTCAACTATTCTCATCTCTAATATTGCAATTCAACTATTCTCCCGCATTTTATTTTCATTATGTTTGAGTTGAGATAATGTTTTTTGGATGATGATTGAAACAATTACATTTTTAGCTGATATTTGGGAGTTTGAGAAAATTATGTTTTTTTAGATAAATGTTTGCTACTTTTGATTAAGTTAATGAGAATTTTGTGTTAAGGTTTTTTCCTAGTTATTAATCTAATTTTGTATATTTTGAGATTTTAGGATCCTTGTTACAATTCTACATTTTACGCTTTTTTCATATCCAACCGATATTTAGTAGGATCCCAATGCTGATAACTGTGGCAATAACATTTCACAAAAATAAAAAATAAATAAATAAATAAATAAAGGATTTTGGTTGTGGAAACAGACAGAGTATGAGAGGATGAGTTCTGGTCACATAAACAGTGCACAGCAGCAGAGAGGGTTTTGGTTTAAAAAACGGGAAGGCTAAGTTTGGGTCACAAAAACAGAGCACAAGAAGGCAGAGTTTTGGTCGCAAACACAGAGCACAAGAGAGGGTGAGTTATGCTCGCAAAAACAGATCATCACAGACACAGTCATGAGACAATGGGAATAAGGTTTTTTAGTAAGTGAAATGACACAATGGATCCCAATAAATAAATCAGAAACTGTTCACACTGCTAAACAAGGTCAAAATACACCCACAAATGCTTCAAAAAACATAACGGATCTTGTTCTGACCCGGATACTTAAATAAATAAAAAATGTGTGATTGCACAACTTTATGTTTTTCTACAGCAATTTTCGCGATTGGCATCATGGTTCTGTGACACACAATCCCACAAAACCCCTGAAAGCAGATCACAAGCATATAATCTCTATGCAAACGCAATGTTAATGTCGATGAGAGATCTAATTTGGGTAGAATAGGGTTTATGTTTTTATTAATAATTATGTGAGATTGGGTAGCCTTGCGTTTGGCAAGTTGAAAATCATAGAAACTGGAATCCAGTCAAATGAGAACTGTTCCTGCATATTTAAAGCCAGTTTTACTTGGATACCAACCCAACCAGGTAACGTGGGTTCGGTCAGGTTAGGCTAGGTTGAGCATGTCGGCCCAATCAACGATAACCCCTAACTAGGGGTTGGTATTCGGGATTGTAGACATTGTCATACATCGATAAACAAACTCAATATTTATATACATGGAAAGCTCCTGACTTTGCATCAAAACTTTAGTTTGAACCCAAAATTGTCAAACTCCCAAGTCATATCTCAGCAAGATATTAATTTTGACAACTTAAAGTCATAAAGCCCAGAAATTAAACTCACTCCAGCAAGGTTGTAGTTGCACCAAGTAGATCTTCTTATACTCATTCAGCAAGAAAATGGAAGAATGGGGAATCAATTCTGCTAAATTGAGCTTGATAAAAACAAATATCATCCAGATTAGAGTTTGATCTTTTGTTGCTTACTAAATCTAACCTGATGCAACCATTTTAATCAGATTATCTTCATGCTATTGAACGTTCCTATAACGCAGATCAACAGAACGTTCCTATAACACAGATCAACAGACTATAGATCTGTGTCAAAGCAACAACTTCTCAACCCTCATTCAGATATCAAACAACAAAATAGTAATCGACATAAGTAAAGATTTATGTCTAATCAATGTTGGTCTAATCTTTCTGCAGGCTTAGAATGAACATGGTGGAGTTGTATATTTGAATCAGTAAACTTGAATAAGGTAGCAAATACATAGGGAAGAGATGAAACTTTAAACATCAGTTGACTGACCAGCATTAAGAACTACAGAAATTTAATCAACCACCAACCAAATCAAACGTAAATATTTTTCTGCAGTGTTTTAGGGGAAGGGTTTCGTGGAAATGATGTGCAAAGTCAGGCAGTTATATAGCCAAAACACAACTCAGTAGAGAATAAGAGGAACCTTTGTTTCACAAAATATAGGAAAAGAAACAAGTCAAGGAGAATTGGTAGTTTAATATACTGCATATTGGATGATCAAAAGTGATCGCTGACCAACGTAACTCTCAACTTGCATTTTGAGGTTAAAGCGGCATTATACATGCAAATTTTAAGCAATAATATTCATAAGTGCAAGGAAAATATTTGTTTGAGACATTCAGCACTATACACAAAATTTTACTTGAGTTGCACAAGAGCTTGTAGTTTTAGGCTTCCAAAAATTTTGTAAACATGATCCCAAACTCCTTTTGATATTTGAAAATTTGAAGTGAACCTCAGAGTAACCCTTCCCTTTCCAACCGATGGCCATAAGTCAAACTCTGAAGTCTCAACCTAGAGAAAACCATAAATATTTGATGCATCAAGCTAATACTTTGGAGAAACATTACCTACCCAAACTAAGTTATATTATTAATTTGATATGGCATATTGATATTTTAACATTTAAACACGATCTACAATAATTTCTAAATAACTACCTCTAGTCATTCGGAAAAAACAATAAAACCATGTCACTTTCCTCTCCTGTACAGTAAACAAACACCGGTGTCCCTTTTAGGAACGACAATGTACTGTGTAAGTAATCTTAAGTCCAACATTACATCTGATTGTTAATATCAGACAACTATAGTGAGATTGAGCAAACAATTCTGAATAAAAAGGTCCATATCACAGCTGTAAACTACGGGACTGTGATTATAAACCTTGCTTTCAATAGAATCCCAAAAAACTCACAAGTCTTGCATAACATAACTACCCATTTCCAATGAATCCAATCAAACAACAAATGACAAACATCCAGAACTTGATCTAACCAATGTCTAATATTCACAACCAAAATAACAACAATCAAAGCTAAGAAGACAAATCACAACTACGCAACACACTTAATTTGATTTAAAATCGTCACCTTACAAGTTACAACCACCAATCAAGTCAAAACATCGATCATGATCAAACGTGAATATAAGCATTCCAAATACAACAGCAAAAATAATAACAAAAAATAAACTACAAAACCCTAACCTTATTTGAGAGCTTTGTGAACACCAACAGAATCCGACGAATTAGTTATCTCCGCGACTACCTTGACTCCTGGATGCTTCTCCTGCTGTTGGATGATTGACTTGCTTTCAAACTCGCGCCACTTATTGATTGCAACGGTGCAGGCCACTAAACCGTTCGGAACAACGATGAATTTCGATACAGGTTGCGAATAAATACGAAAGGGATCGGAAATTGAATTACCTGCTGCGCCGACGAAGTAGACGAGACGCATGAGTTTTGGTCCCGGAGGACCTGAGTATTCTTCACCAGTCATGTATTCCGCCGCTGGTGAGTGGTTCCTTCTCACTTCTCCGTCGCTGTTCGGTTCAACTTCGACCTTGGTTGAAGCAACTCAACGTTTTTACCTGGAATTTCGTTAAAAAAAAATTATTGATAAATTTTTACACTCACCTCTGCTCACTTACACCCCTTTAGTTTTAAAATATTCACTATTTTTTTTTTTTTTTTAAAGTTTAGACGACATATTAACAAAATATTTTAGGACAAAAAATCGTGTCATATATACCTACCGATTAGATTATGACTCTCACTAAAAATTATAAAAGGTGTAAGTGGTGTTTTTGAAAAATCTTGGATAAATCTCACGGTTATTTTTTTAGTTTTAATATTTTTATTTTAAAATTTGGAATTTTAATCTCGTATTTTTAAATATTTTTTTAGTCTTTTTATCTTAAAATTTGAAATTTTAGTTTTTTTTTTCTTTTGGTCTCCTATTTTAAGTTTGTTTTGAGTTTTAGTCCCCTTCTTAATTGAAAAAGGGATCAAAAGTCTAAATAATTAAAAATAAGAGAATTAAAACTATAAAAAATGAAAATAGGAGGATAAAAATTCAAGATTATAAAGTAAGAGGACCAAAAGTAAAAAAAAATGAAAATAAATGGACCAAAATTGTAATTAAACCAATTAAAATTAGAGAATGTGTGAATATTGTTTTGATAAATTTCAAGGGGTATGAGTGTAATTTCTTCTAAACTCTTTAGTAGTCATGAGTTTAAGTTTGAAGGTGAAAAAAAATACAAGAAGATCAGAGGATTGAATTGTGTTGTTTTTTTAATTAAAAAAAATTATTACTACTTCTGATTGATCTTAATCAAAGTTTAAACTTGTTGCTCAAGATCTGACTTCAGAATCACTCGGAGTCTAAAATCTTAAAAGACTTTATTATATTCTACAACATAATCTGATTCAGAGGTAAACACAATATAGAAGTGGAATAATTTTCAAAAGCAAATAAAGTAAAAACATAAGATACAGTAGTTATCCTCATTCCTCTTACAACTTGAAAATAGTCCAGTCCCTTTGCTCTCAAGGGATTTTTAGTATAACCAAATCTGATTACAAATGCTCAAATTCACCAACAAAAGACTTCTTTTATTTACATATACAAGTAATTATTTCTCTCACTTATGTTGGTGTTATTAACTCAATGCAAATACCCCCTGATGACCCATCACATTCTGGATCGATACACAACTCCTAAAAAGATAAAAGGAAAAACCATTCTTCCTTTATTTTATGAATCTAATTGGTAGCACGTTTTTAACATAGTATAAAAGGAAAAATCATTCTTCCTTTATTTTATGAATCAAATTGGTAGCACATTTCTAACACAATAATTATTTTTCATTTTTAAAAAATTGAGTTTATGAGTGTCATACCTCAATTTTGTTCTGACATTTTTAAAACTTTCATTCATTTGACTTTATTTCTACCTTGCATCGCCTGCACAGCATAACATGTCTTTTATCACGCATAATTCCTAAAATGTAGGTCAGAATAAATTTCTGGATATACAGAGAGACTCATTGAATCATTTCTCAAATGTACGTAAAATCAACGGACGAAAAGTTTTGAAATCGAGCTTGCAGACGTCAGTATTATTAATCTACGGTTCGTGTAGTTTAACTTGGGGTGCTCGTTTTGTTTATGATTACTTTTTCTGTCGTACTTTGATCAGTCTGAGCCTTTTAACCTGTCAAAATTTATTTCAAAATTTGATCAAAAAATTTAGATTTCCGAGAAGTTTATTCTGCGCTGATCATTTTAGTGCATTTGATTTTTTTTAGCATTTTTGCATCAGAATTTTATTCGTTTTTAATCCTTTTATTTTTATTTTATTTTTTTCAAAATAAATATTGTAATTAATTAGGATTAATTGGATATTGAGATTGAATTTATTTTGAGTAAATTGTTTTTTAATTTAATTGTTAAGTTTGTTTCTAACATATTCAAAAATAAAAATGAATGAAAGAATAGTGGATAAAAATTTATATATTGGATCCTTTTTGTCAACACACGCGACCAATTATGGAAAAATCTGTTGTGATTTTCAAAATTGGGACCAATGAAAGCATCCCACTCGTTCCATCTCTCTCTCTCTCAGCATACTCAATTAGCAACCATAAAATATCTCCCTCATATTTTGGAATAGGACCACCAATACACTATGCGCACCCCACCAATGAGAGCACTCATCTCTCACAATTAGAAAAGATAACCTCTACCCTCTCTGACATCTGAAGTTTTTCTTCCAAATTTCCAATAGCATTTAACTGCGTAGCCCACATTCTCAATGGAAAGAAATTGAAAAATATATATAATATAAATCACTCACCATTATTCTCTCTCTCTCTCTCTCTCTCTCTCTCTCTCTCTCTCTCTCTCTCTCTCTCTCTCTCTCTCTCTCTCTCTCTCTCTCTCTCTCTGTATAACAAATTTGTCTTTCCATTTAGTAACAGAAGGCATAGGTAAGTGTTTTGGACTGGGCCGAGACCTGCTCTTCAGTCGGGTAGGCCCAACACAACACTACATTAGGGAGGCCCAACAAGGCTCAATCCTCCCAGTCGGGCACGTATCTCAACAAGGCCCCTCAGTCGGGAAGACCAGTACTTGGTGCGAGGAGAGCCCACGCGCTTCCCCCACGTTCTCCACATGTCTCCCACACGGGGACACGTCATCGGACAACTACCCACTTTGGAAAGAGATAGTCAGCCCACCTTTCGAAGATCACAGGATAGTTGATCCAGGGCGAAGACCATGTTCTGGTCTTCACTATGCCACGTAAGCCCTGGCAGTTACTTGTGTTGGGCTTGGTAATCTGGTCCAATGCAATGTAATTGTTGGCCCTGCGCTGGGGGCACATTATAAATACCCTCTTTCACTAAAGGGTCAAGTATTCTATTCACTACACATTTTCTCTGTACTTTCTCTCTCTCTAGTTCCGTTACTCACTTAAGCATCAGAGCATTTTACAGGTACACCCCATTTCTCCTCTATAACATCGGTGAAGGCAGCAACTCACAGCGTGTGGTAGGTTACTGATTCATTTCTGATCAGGTACGATCAATGGCGTCGTCTATGGGAACCTTTTGCTTCCCCTTTCTTTCTCTTGTCCAAGCATAGAAGCTCAAAAATCAAAGCAACCTTCAACTTCCGTTCTAATCATGTGGCTAGTCCACGCAATGTCAATGCTCTTGAAACTACCTTCATCCCCTTCACCAAAGAAGATGGCCACGACCCCAACGCGATTTTCCGCAATAAGGAAGGCAACTACAAGGACGGGCACACCACATCTCCCTCCTCGGAAGACGCGACCTTCAATGTCGGCCAGCGCTTCAACAACTCTGCTATCTACCAGCTCATCCCGGTGCCAGTAGACGCCGACCATACCATGATGGTTGTAACACCCCAAATTCTATTGGAATATTTATTTAATTTATTTAAATATGAATATTCGCATTTTTGGTGATTTCCGGTGGTTGGTGTGAAATATTAGGAATTATGAATTTTGGGTTATTTATTTAAATAATAGTATATAATATGAATATATTGGTATTATTATTAATTTAAATAAATATAAGTTAACTAAGGGCAAATTGGACAATTAAGGAGGAGTTAGTGAGGGTAATATTGGAAAAGCCCAGTTTATAGGCCCAAGGTTAGGTTTAACAAAAAGGGATTTTTTAGGGAATTATGATTCATTCTTGTTAGATCGTGAAAAGAGAAGGATTGAGGCCAGAGCTCTGAGGAAGAGGTGTGAGGCAAAAGCTTCGAAAGGTTTTCTGAAAGTCAAAGAGGAGGCTTACAGTCGGCAATTAAGGTATGGGGAGTATTGCCTTCATTATTTTTAATGTGTGATTTCAATCAGTTTAAAGCCGATTTATGGGTTTAAAGGGTTTAAGGCTAATTCTGGGAAAAAGGGAATTAGGCCTTCTTGGCCAAATTCTATTATTGAGGTTTTAACCGTATAGGGATTTGAACTATGGTCCGATAGGTTTGAGGTCGATTTGCGTTTGAGGGAAAGTAGGCCTTCATGGCCAAAATTTGTTGTTGAGATTGTTTAACCCTTAGGATAAGTGATTTGTGATAACTCTGATGACTGTGGTGTAGTTGTAAGGAATTATGGGAATTAGAGCGTGAATATGATACGAGATTGGCCTAATAAGTCATAGATTTTGTGCTTTTATCGCCGTAAGACCTTAGGGATGATTTAGGGATGTTTTTGGGTCATTGGGGAAGTGAATCGTGGGACTTTTAGGTTGATTTTAGGTTCTGGTGCATAATAGTGTTCTGTTGTAATTGTGTGTTCGCACAATGAAGAATCCTTCGCACAGCGAACGATATTCGTCCCAGACTCTCACTGCGAAGAATCCTTCGTACAGCGAAGAAACTCGCCCCAGACTTGCACAACAAATGTGCTAGTGAATGTAGCAGAGTTTCGCGAATTCTGATTTTGTGCAGTGATGCCTTGATGTTTGATGTTGTGATTTCTTTTATGAACTTACCATGAGTATGACTATGACTTCTACGTGATTAATACATGATAGTATGATGATTACCATGAGTATAATTGTGAATTCTATGTGATTTATATGATGATTTCGATGATGTAATGATGATGAGCTATGAGGATATTTCATGAGTTTGATGATTCTATGATGACATGATATATGATGATGATGTAATGATGATGAGCTATAAGGATATTTCCATGAGCTTTGATGATTCTATGATGACATGATATATGATGATGATTGTGATGATGATGATTATGATGAATGATGATGCACCTATGATGTTATTATGAGGATGATTATTGACGTGTGCATCATGCACTCATGTGCATCCGGACATCGGTTTAGGACCTTGATTTCTTTGGCTTCAGTCCTATTGTGCAGATGTGAGGTATTTTGATGTGCTCCAGTTCTCGAGTAGAATCGATCTTATTGATAGGGATCTATGGAGGGTTGATGG